ATGACGACCTAAAAACCCGAAAAAACCATTAGTTTCAAGGAATGGCCTCGAAAGTCTATCTCTTGATAAAATAAATTTTGTAATTTTTGTCTGAAAAGATCCCATTATTGTCAGAAAAGAAGGAAACTGTTAGAAAATAATGTTTTTTTTGCGTTTTGATTGAAAATTGAGCATTTAGAAGAAATAGTAACTTGCCTAAAACTGGAAAATTCTGAAATTTTAAAAATATTATCAGTAAGTGGCCCTTAAAATAAATCTAAAAACACGTAAAAACGTCATCAACATTTTCCCTGCAACGGAATTGTGTTACTGCGCCGGGGCGTTGGGTTGGCGCACCATTGCGCCACTAGGCCTAGTGTGCTGTCAACCCTTGACCCAACTGGGTTCAAAACAGCAGCAAATCAATTCTAACAAGGCTTTTTATTATCCAATATTCAACATATAAAGTTGTAAAAAACAGGACACGATATGAGTAGCTGATGTGAAATTACAAGGCCCACTTAGGAGCGATTTGCACGGGTTTCTTCCGATACGTGGCTCGAGCATTTTAAGTGTCCTTCTACTGGGTACTCGCCTTGAAGATAGTTCGTATCCTCGTCCGGTACGCTCGTTTCAGATAAAGTAGGTGATACCATAATCGGTTTGGTTGTCCTGGACATTTCCTCATGCGCTTCATGTCGTATCGTTATGTGCTGATTCTGCATGCACTGAAATTTCAGAAGCTCCTAATAGTCTTTTACGGTTTATTCAAAGCCTCATACGCTGATGGATATGTTTGATGGAAAGGTGCGATGCATCTGCCCATGGGACTGATCAACCTGAAGGCTTCGATTGATCTGAGCCTGGATGTTGAAGTTGGAGGTGATTCTGAAAAGACGTTCTGAGCAGCGCGCAATGTACTTCATCTCGCAAAGCGATTCCCAAGCATCAGACAAACGGGACTCTCGCATAGTTTTGTAGAGGATTTGCTCTTTTTGGTGTTGCTGCAACCGGAAAACTCACTCAAATGGAAACTGCGTGTTTTCGTTTCCTCACCTTCATGTGGTGTTTTTTCACGACGTCCTTTTGCATTTGCTGAACATCTTTTCCCCACTTATCGGTTACTTCGCTCATGTCTTTCAAAATCTTTGCATCCAACAGAATTGGTCGCATGTTCATTTTCTTGAAATCTTGCTCGATTTCCTTCCATTCTTCCCCCAGTTTCAACGCTAAGTAGTTATCTGCCAGGACGTAAGTCACCTGCAGAGAAAAATTGAGTCCAAATTGCGCGAAATATTTTGAAACTTATTCTAAAAAGTAGTGCACATAGTGAATAAATTGGAAAATTAATCTAATGGGTTTTTCGGGTTTTTAGGCCGTCGTTCGGTAGAATTT